TCGATAAATGCATTTATTTAAGGGCTGCATCATAATACATTTATATTAGATTTCTTCAAAGTTTGTCCGGGTTATTTATTGTCACCCTGTAAGTAATTTGGGTAACCTAATCTACAGAATATTTCCTTCATTACTTCAATTAAGCTTTTTGTGGAAATTGAGCGTAAAAATTTTAACTCCATATAGCGGGAATAGTAGTCAATAAACACAACAACAAACTCGTTGTTTGGTAGGGGCCCCAATATGTCTGATGCTACCCAAATCCATGGGCCTGTTGGAAATGGGTTCCTATTCATTGGTGCTGGCCTGGGCATTGGGAGACCAGAAGACAATCTCTGCAGTGTTTGACATAGTTCTCTGCATCACGTTTAATTAGAGGCCACCATACAGACGATCGCAGACGCCTTTTCATAGCTGACTCTCCCGGGTGTCCTTCGTGAGCCAGTTCAAGCACTTGGTTCCGCAGTGATTGAGGAATAACAATTCGGTTACCTCGCAAAAGAAGGGGTCCTATTGCTGATAACTCAAATCGAAAGCAATGGGTACAGCAGTTTTAGGGATCCTGGTTTCCATGAGTCGCACTCCAGACAGGCCTTTGCATCGATAATTTCGAGGGGTCCTATTGCTGATAACTCAAATCGAAAGCAATGGGTACAGCAGTTTTAGGGATCCTGGTTTCCATGAGTCGCACTCCAGACAGGCCTTTGCATCGATAATTTCTTCGTCCTTTACCGAATGTTTTGCAATTTCCAAGATAGTCATTGATTGGGGAATGCTGTTCTCGATCACTTGTAATATGCTACAATCCATTTCTTTTTCACCAAAGTCGGTTGCTGATAACGGACAAATTCGGGATAGAGCGTCGGAGATCTTCTCTTTTCCCGCTTTGTAGACTACTTTAAAATCAAAGGACTGTAGCCGTAGCAACCATCTTTCTATGCGCGCAGGAGGTCTCGATGTCGGTTTAAAAATGGCCTCCAACGGTTTGTGATCTGTCACTAGCTCGAAATGAAGTCCTGCTAAGTAAAAGTAAAATTTTCTCAACAGCCCAGACTAGAGCCAGACTTTCTTTCTCCGTTTGAGAATAACGTCTCTCAACGGCCGACAAAGCTTTACTAGCGAATGAAATAATTAAGGAGTCCGCATTTACAGAGAACTGCAACAGCACCGCTCCCAGTGCTACAGGACTGGCATCTGCTATTAGGCGAGTTCGATTTAGCGGGTTGAAGTATGCAAGGTTTGGTACTTTTTCCAGTCGATCCTTTATGTTCCGAAAAGCATCTCTTTCTGTTTCGCCCCAGCTGAATTTCGAGTCCTTCCTCAGAAATTTTCTCAGCGGAAACGTGTAATCTGCCAGGTCTGGAATAAATTTTCCCACGTATGTCACCAAACCTAGGAAACTCTGAGTCTTTTCCTTGTTAAGTGGTTCTCGAAACATTCTAACCACATTAATTTTATCCGGAATTCCGAACATCAGCCGCTTGTACCGAAAGAGTCCTTTTGGTGTTATGAACGTCGTAATTTCCCTGCTGGCTTCGTCCAGTTCCAGCTGGTGATAAGCTTCTTTTAGGTCTAAGCGCGAAAAGTATTTTGCGTCCTTTGCAGCCGAATATCGCCGTTTTCCTTAAAAGCCAGGACAATGGGGGATATCCACGAGCTCGGACCTGTAACTGATTCGATGATGTCCCGACTTAAACTCTCTTCCAGCTTAGCGGCAACTTTTTCCTCGAGTGCCACCGGGATTCTTCGAACTGGCTGCTGAACTTGGGGCTGCTGAACTTGAATGACTTGGGGGTCAATCCATAGTTTTATTTTAACCCCTTTCCATTTAGGGAATGGTGTGGTCATTTCCACTCGATTGACATCTAGACCTAGCCGAAGAACGTTCAGCTTAATGGCGGTCTCTCGGCCCAGTAGCGACTGCCGTCCATTTTTAATTACGAAAAATGTTGCAATCACCTCGACATTCGGCACAGCTGATATCGGCGCATCAAAAACATAAATTACTTCAAGTAATTGTTCAGAAGCATATCCTCGAAATCGTTTCTGAGAATGCGATCTAATGTTGAAGATTGCTGTAGGTTCCTTGTTAGTCCTTGCCCAATCTGATTGACTAATTAGGTTAAATTAGGTTTAATTGTCGGCACGGCCCTATCTCGGGGGCATAGGAAATTTCTCTGCCCGAGCTCTGCCACACACATACAGTATAAATGTGTGAAACGTCATGCTCAAAGCCTACTTTCTGCTATTCGTTACTAACACTAATGCGGTAAAATCATATCAATGTATTGTGGTGCCGACCACTGCTCTAAACCATTTCTCGCATTCATTTCGAATGACCGATTTCTCAATTGCTTCAGTTTTTTCAGATAGGAAAGTTTGTGCGTTTGTGTTTGCTAGATTTTAGACAACGAAACAACATTTAATTTTACACTTGAAATTCTGGGCTTGTTTTTACGCAGCCTCTCTTTTTTTTTATAGTTATCTAGCTTACGCAAGACCAGACTCTTCCGCACAGCCTTTACTAAAAATTGTTCTTTTGGGCTTGTTTACACGCAGCCTCTTTCGACTTGTATTTACACGCAGTCAATTTATTATACAGCTTACGGAAAACAAAACTCTTCCGCACAGCCTTTCCTATGCACGTTTTCACCTGCGTACATACATAGTTACACATGCATACACATGCGGCTTGCAAAAATGTAAATCTTTCACTCAGCCCTTTTTTTCCAGAGTAAATTTCTCTTAAGTTATCTGGCTTGTTTAAAACTCAGCCTCTCTTTATTGTTTTTTTTTTCTTTTTACTTATGTTTCATAATTTGGTTTTGCGCTGCTTTACAAGTATAACAATTACCAATCTCATTTATGTTATACATTATGGTTATTCTTTCCGTTCCTCTTTTTTTTTTTTGGATGGCACTGCCATAAGCAGTTTTTCGTTTTACATACATACATACGTACGTACGTTTAAATGAGATTAATTATTGCTATTTCTTGTATATATTTTTGGAAACAGTTTTACCTCGTCGCCAATGTAGTAACCCGTAAGTTCCCCCTCAAAAAGGACAGGTTATTTCCACTTTAGATAATAGAACAATTGATTTATTTAAGTAATAATCGCGTCGCGTCTGCTCCGCAAGCTCGGTCAATTACAACTAACTCTCCCCCTGCTCTGTCACTCCGCTCGCGCCCTCCTTGCCATTCTCGCCGCTCTCCTGCATGACATCGCCGCTCATTGCCGGCTCCCACAATAACTTTCTACTTTCTACCTACCTTCTACTTTCATATTCCAGAGATCTTCTATTTGGGGACCTCTCGAGCGGTTACCTATTCAGATCTGCGGAACCATGAAAGCAGACGTTTCTCTTGTTGAGTCTATAGCGTTGATTTAATTTTCCTGGCTCTGTAGCTCCCGACCCTTCCGACTAGACCGCTACCCACTAGTTGTTACACAACAATAAAACTTGCACCACATTAAAATTTAAACACCAATATACATTGTATACATGGCCTGACCTCCCCACCTAAGCGAGACGCTCGCCATTTCCCGCGACTGCCGCTACGCGCAAGAAAAGTCCTATATTCCTCTTCCTAAGATAGTTCTCCTTAGGATTAAGGGACTATCGCAAAATACAAAAGTAAAATTCTTCGTTACTTACCTTCCAGCTTTTAGTGCCTCTAACAAAACTCAATACTCAATTTTTTTTTAATAATAATGAGATATAAATGTAAATAATAAATAAATAAGTAAGATAAAAAGTTAAAACAGAATGAAAAAAAAGAAACAACAGGTGTGACTAAAAATAATAAACAAAGACCCAATAAAATATGTATAAATTTTCATATATTAAAACTATGATTCCAATGCTGGGATATTCCTTTTTATCTCTCCTTACAGCCGACAAAGCGGAGCAAATTTTTCCTCGGGTTGAAGAATAATACGGGTAATTTCCTTCACCCTTCTTTTTATCCAGGTGGGCCATGTTGGACGGACCAACAAAAAAAATTAAGCAAATTCCAAAAAAAAGTTAACTGACAAAATAAAAATCCCAATAAAAAATAGCCAGCAGAAAAAGCGGTACCAAAAAATGACTTGCCAGGCAGCCCATTAAATTTTTTTAGGCCTGGCTTTTCTCTCTGGATTTACTGGTCTTCTTCAACCGTCCAGGTCAACAACCCCCAATACCCAAAATTTCCCTCTTTGGGACTAGGTGGCAACGGTGGGACCTCTCACCAAAACCAGGTAGCATTGCCTTGCCCGATTACTTTTAAAGCCTAGTACTCTGACGATGAAAATCCGCTGTCCAAAATCCGCTGTCCAAAATCCGCTGGCGAAATCGCACTTTATTTGGCGACCGAGCTAGTGTGACCAAAAAAATTAAGGAAAAGAGTAATACTGAACAGCTGTTGTTTGTAAACAAAAAACAAATAAGCAAAAATGAATTCAAACCGATTGGATTTTGGTGTTTTCTTTATGTATTTCGCCGCTAAGAAGCTGATTAAGAAAAAGAAAACTGGGTCAAAATCAAAATCAATCACAAATCATTTCAATGTCATTTTATGGAATTAAAATGCCCCTACTGGGTCAAATCCAATATTATGGGGCTTCGCCTTGACCGCACTAATTAGCTTGACTTTATCCTCGCGGGCCGAACATTTTTCGGTCCGACAATTTTTTTCTTTCAAATTTTCGCTCCATGTTTTAGCTATCAAAATAAATCAAATTAATTCTTTTTACACCCCAAAATCAGCTGTTTATTTTTTTTTGATCCGGCAACGCCATTTAATTCGATAGCTAAAATTTTCGTCGTCAGAGTACCGGAAAAATCTAGGAGACAAAAATTTTGTCTTCTTCCTTTTTTTACACCGTTTTTTTTATATGGAGTTTGACAGCTGTCACTCGTGCGACAGCGGATTTTCGTCGTCAGAGTACTAGGCTTAAAAGTATATCTTTATTGGTTTTATTAAAATGCTTAAAAAAATAAAGAAAACAACATTCGTTTTATTTTATTGGTTTATTTTTGGTTTTGATTTGTTTTTTTTTTTTATTTTAAGCTGTATAACCGGTTGTATCAAAACCGTTGGCTAACATTTGTTGGTCAATCCAATCTCGCACTATAGCTACGTTAGCATAGGCAGCTGGTACCTCATCATTGCATCCAATTCCCCATGCAACAATCCCACTCTGCATGTATCGAGTTTCAGAGGATATTCCAATGGGGCACACGAGAGGAGCTCCACCATCCCCTTGGCAAGTATCAATACCTCTTTGGCCTCCCGCACACATGAATGACCTGTCTAAAGCAAACTTTGGCCCAAGTCGAGTCTTTCGTAGCCTTTCCTGACAAGAATTGTACTCAACTACAGGCAATGGAACCCTTTTCATGATAACGCTATATTTTCCTTGAGAACCGAAAACATCCTTTCCCCATCCAGTGGAATAACAAGTGATGGAAGTTGCGGGAATTGATCCTTGCTGAGGTAAGCACACCACATTAATATGGTCATCTAATACAAAAGGCTGGCTGAGAATAACAAGTGCAAAATCATTGGCAATGTTTCTACTCTTGTATTGCGGATGCGTAATAATATTTTTCACAGTTCGTTCCTGATATGGTAAGCGCTCCCTTGTGGTTTGAGAGTCCCATTCTCCTGCTCTGATAATAAACGATCCTGGATTATGAGGTTGAACACAATGCACAGCGGTTAGAATCACTTGTGGATGAATTAGTGAGCCAGCACAAAAATAGCTAAAATTGGAGAAATGCAAAAGAGCTACCGTCCATGGAAACTCGCCAAAACCGGCTTCGTTTTGCGTGGCTCCACTTAAAGTAAAATCCAATCCTACGTTACGAACCCCGCAACCTTGTGGTTGGTTTGGTCTTTGAACCAAAGGGGTCGGATTTAAGGTCTCAGAGCGTGTTCGATTCATAGCGCAGCAAACGTCCACGGATGATGGACAAATGGGGTCATCGGCGTTAAATCGAATATCAATAACACCGAACCCATCAAAAGTACCGTCCTCTGTAACACTATTTGTTGACGGATCGCACTTATAATAAGGAACACAATTACACGTGACTGCTTTGCCACTTATAGAATTAAAGTTTGTCGCTGGGATCAAGGAATCGGTAGGTTCCGGGTTAACAATTAAATCTATTCCGCTTTGTTTTCGATTACTTTGAATGTTATCCAAGGGACTAGGATTTGTGTTAAATATTTCCTGAATATTTTTTTCAGCATTGGAATTTTGTTGTGGTTTTCCTTGTGTAGATGAACAAAACTTAGTCGCAACTATCGCTAGCGCCATGAAAATAGTTCTAAAGACAGTCATCGTTCTCTGCAAAACAAAAAAATATTCACAATCATTGTAATAAGTTTAGTAATATTTTTAAATAAAAAGGAAATTTCGATAAGACATAGACATTTAAGCTAATATTGGTGTGTGTGTTTCAAGCTAAAATTGCGTACGCACAAGTATATGTTTTTATACCCTTGCAGAGGGTATTATAATTTTGTGCAAAAGTGTGCAACGCAGTGATGGAGACATCTCCGACCCTATAAGGTATATATATTCTTGATCAGGATCACCTCCTGAGTTGATATGAGCATGTCCGTCTGTCTGTCCGTTCGTTTCTACGCGAACTAGTCTCTCAGTTTTAAAGCTATCGCCTTGAAACTTTGCACACACCCTTCTTTCCTTTGCACGCAGTATATATGTAAGTCGGAACGGCCCGGATCGGCCGACTATATCCTATAGCTGCCATATAACTGATTGATCGGAAATGGTATAACTTTGACGTTTTTAAAGTTAGAGAATCAAATTTGACACGAAAGCTATTTTTGGCAACACATTACGACATGCCAAATTTCATAAGGATCGGCCGACTATATCTTATAGCTGCCATATAACTGAACGATCGGAAATGACCCAACTTTCGTGTTTTTGAAGATAGAAAGCTGGAATTTAGTACAGCTTCTATTTTTGGTCAGTTAATCCGACCTACCAAATTTTATAACGATCGGCTGACTATATCTTATAGCTGCCATATAACTGAACGATCGGAAATGGTTTTTGGTAGAAATACCAACTTTGGTATTTTTGAAGATAGAAGTTTGGGACTTTTTTTAGATTTTATATTATAATAAATTGGTATATATTATCATATTCGGCCAACTATATCCGATGTTTGCGATATATACCCGGTTTAAACTGCAAGGGTGTATCAACTTCGGCTCCGCTCGAAGTTAGCTTTCCTTTCTTGTTATTTTTAAACTTCTGGGCAGAGAAATGTGTTGTCAATGTTGTCATCAGTAAAAGCCATTAATAAAAAACAAAATTATGTTTAAAACTTATATTTAATTAAAATATTGCCAACCATAAAATAATGAATTTTATACATTTTTTCTAAGCTTTTCCTTAAATCCTAGATTATATGGTATGGTAGTAAATTAAAAATAATTCAAGCAAAAAAAAAGAAGAAGCAACAAAAATAAATTAATACAATGGGAGCTATTAGCTTTTAATTGTGTTTTTTTTTTTAAACATACATTTCCAAAATAAAATGGTAAAAAAAGTGTTGGTCGCAGCAATTACACGGCCTACATAATTTCATATATGGTTAAAATTAATCAATATTTTCTTGTATTACTGAATTATCATCAGTAATTTTCAATTTATTAAGTATAATTTTGTGTCATATGAAAAAAACTCTAATTATTTTTGGCATACCTACATATTTTTTTAACCCCTGCAGAGGGTATTATAATTTTGGTCAAAAGTGTTCAACGAAATAGGCCAAGAAGTCTGTTTTCTGTCTGTTTTCACGCGAACTAGACTAGACGCGAGCTCTCAGTTCTGAAGCTATCGATTTCAAACTGTGCACACACCCTTCCTTCCTTTGCATGCATATATAAGTAGGAACGCTATATAAGTCGGAAGGGATTTTGGGTTTCTATTTTTGGTTCATAATAAATTTCCTAATCATCGGCCGACTCATCATCATCGGAAGAATCCAATGCTCACTTAATGCGAATACATTTTCGTGCATGAGATTTTCGATCGCTATTATATATTTTATTGCGCGTATTTTCTCCAAGGACACATAATTCTATATCCATAATTTGGTTTCCGTGTACCAATGTTTTTTAAACTGTTAATGTATGTCATAATTTTGGGTGCATAAGAAGAGTAGTTATGTCCACAGTTTTTCTTTGAAAGCCTTATTACGGCATTACTTTACATCAGTGGTCGGCAGGGCTCTATTCCAGGGGCATAGGAAATTTCTCTTATTGCGCTTTTAAACCTCGAGCAGCACTGCAAACTCATTTACACCTACATACACCATGTATCAATTTTTCGAAAAAGCAATAACAAATCAAAAAAAATTTGTTAAACACACATAACTTGAACTGTGGTGAGTCTTTTTGCTTTAAAAAATGAATATTTCATACAACACATGAACTTTTGTTAGTAAAGGGCTGATAATACACATGAGAAACAGTTGAAAACACACAGCTACCGTCAAAACGTATCATCCAATGATATATTAATATATTAATGATATATATTAATATTTTCACTTTCACTAACTGTTTGGGATATATGTATGTAGGTATTATTTAAGCTAACTAGCTTTTTTAAAAAATCAAAGAAACGCAAAATCAGCTGACTTAGGCAGGGAGCCAAGCACACAAAACAAAAATTTCTAAATATTTTTAGTCTGTCGGGCAAAACGAACACATGTTTAAAATTTGAGTGTATGCGTAGCAGAGAAAAACAATGAGAGCAGAGCATTTATTGAGCGAAAAAAAAAATTAGTTTTTTATTTCATTTTTCGTTAATTTTAAAGTTGAAATGGGCACTAAAACAGGTTATTTTATTTTAAAGAAAGCTTTTCTAGCAACAGTTTTTAAAGAAAAGAAAAACTACGCTTCGCTATCTATATTTCTATGGAGAAACTTCAAAATTTGAGAGTGCTCACACTGTCAATGGGCGGCAGAATTTCCGACCCGGGCACGGGTGCTATGGAAAATGGGAGTTTGCACCCACTGCTATAAACGTTTCTTTTATTTCTTGAATCTTCTCTTTGCGAGACTAACAAGAGGTGTACCAAATCAACACTGAAAACTCTATTTTAAAATGGCCATACTTCTGACCGAAACGAAAAATTTTCATATCCGACTTACAGTCCGACTACAGTCACGCTATCACATAATCTTAGATTAATTAGAAGATAGGTAACTAATAAACCTCTATCTCAAGTAACTAATCAATGACCCAAAAATAAAAATCCTGAGGTTTCCAAGCCGTGGGAACCATAGAACATGTATTTCCTGATGTCTCCGCAAAATACGCAACTATAGCTCATTTGATTAACACTATTTAGTTTAACCATAACGTTATTAAATAGATGCATAAAATCTAAAGTATTAATAACTCCCTAAACAAAATATTATGGACCAAACTATAATTATAAATAAAATTAATATCAATGTCTACTCCAATAGAAAAAAAACATCAGTTTATCAAGACGTGATCAAACAAAGTTCTCACTCATCAATAAAGACCACTGAAGGCAACATCTAACACCTGCCAATTGAATTTATGCCAAAATTTTTTGGTTTTCGCATTGAATTATAAAAATACATAAACATGCGTAAATACATAAATATACAAATACAAAAATATTAAGAATTAAGTAACTAAATTTTGGTCAAAATAAAACAAAAAAATGTGCAAATGATTTTAAACATTGTATATCTGTGTGTTTTATTTTTTTATAGCCCGTGTAGGCATACAATATATTGACATGCTTCCAATTTCCAAATAAGGGAAATTGGGGTTCACCGATATTCGGGGTCGGCACTCAATACATTAATATGATTTTAATGGACTAATTTTAGTTACGAACAGCAAAAAGTAGGCTGAGTTTGTGAGCTGCAGAGCCTGTAAAGCTTGTATCTGTAGAGAAAAGTTAGTTGATAAAGGTGCGTTATCTAGGAGACAAGTTTAAAACTAAAAAGGGGCATAGAGAGATTTGAAGTGTAACAGGGTAAAATGTCAACTTTCTGTTGGGGCATTGTCTCTCTGGGCAAAGGCCATGGAGGATTCAGCGCCAAAAGTCGGGCGTCTATAACATTCATTCCATCGTTACACCTTCTCAGAATCAATTGTGTCTGTTTATGTCCAAGTGCGTATGAAGTCTAAAGTCCACTGCAAGCAAGAAATTGATGTCCAAGGGCAAAAGTTTAAGATCAGGAAGGAAAGCCTATCATTTTTGTTGCTAGCACTGAGTTTGTGGAAATAAGGAAGTGCGGCGGTTTCAGACATAAATTCTTGCCAAGTTTTCCTTTTCAGGAATAGTTTCGGCAATGCACATTGGAATGAAATGCCTTTATTTTGGCCAAAACCTAAAAAGTTCGTGTTAATATATCAATAATGTTACAATTATTTCAAGCTAAGAAAAGTCCCTAGACATCGAAAATATTTAATTTGTATTTTATTGTGGAGCCCTCGTCTTGCACCAGCTCTTGAAAGTGAGCTGTTCTTGCTGATTAGTGAAGTTCCTAAATTTTGGCGTTTTCGAATTTTTAAACAGTTTGACCAATTAAAATACCTTAAAATGGAAAATGTTTCGCATGGTAAGTAGAAAATATTTGTATAAGTTTATAATTAAACAGTAGTTATGTTGATTCTAACCCAAAAATATTTGTGTTTCGTGGAGCATATCTAGCAAGATACAACAGAATTCAACCAAAAACCTTTGTGGTAGTATGAGTTATTATGTGTATATTCAGATAGCATTTAAATAATTGGCGGGAATTTGCGGGGGGATTAAATATGTCATCACATTCAAGCAAGGTTGCTATTCGTTGAGGTGACACTAGAATTTCAACGCTACTTTTGACTGGGTTTGCGTCTAAGTAATTCCAAATGATTTTCCGGAAAACTATTTGTGATTAAACGAGGTTATTAAAAACAAAAAAAAACCCTAATTGTTCAAATTAAGAGACTGCTGAATAAAGCACACAGAAATTTTAGTCGTTTCAAGTAAGAAAATGCTATCTTTCTTGCTTGCTTGTGAGTTGCACAAGCTTGCTTGTGATTAAACAAGGTGATTAAAAACAAAATAAAAAACTTTATTGTTCAAATTAAGAGATTTGCCTCCGAACATGTAAAGGAAAATTCAACACTTCTACATGTTGAAGCAGCTGCTATGTCTGCTAAGAAGGAAAAAAATACTTTCAAAATCACACTCTTTGTCAAGTGAAGTTATTGCATTTTTAGTTTCTCCAAAGCCAGAAGATGCATTCCAAGTATATAGTGTTGAAGACGAGAATAAAAGTATACAAATTTTTTACTTTGATTTAGAAGAACGTTTATATTAATACAAGTTTATGTACTTATTTTTAAGTTTTCGAAATTTAGCTATGCTTTCATATGCAAGAATATTAAAATATAAAAATTTTCCAAAAATTTTAGATAAAAAAAATAAAGAGAAAATTATAACTAATATAAAAGTATAATATAATTAATATGAATTTTATAAATACTGCAGTTCTATTATGTGGGCGGCAAGAAAGGCATGGTTGTAGTGAAAAAAAAAATCCGAAATTCACAATTTGGATTTAGCAATTACGAAGCTATCATGTTGGCACATCAGCCAATTTAAATTTTATGAGTAATTTAATAGCCTCAGAATGCAAATCCACATTGGCGGTGTGGTAGGCACGTCGGCAAACCGACGACTACCGAACGGCCTCACACCTACGTAGCTATGTAGTACAAACGAAAGGCGACATAATCGAATATAAACAAGAAAGGAAAGCTAACTTCGGGCGGAGCCGAAGTTGATATACCCTTGCAGTTAAAACCGTATATATATCGCAAACGTCGGATATAGTTGGCCGATCCTTATGAGAATATGATAATATAACCCAATTTATTATAATACAAAATTTAAAACAAGTCCCAAACTTCTATCTTTAACAATACCAAAGTTGGTATTTCTACCAAATACCATTTCCGAACGTTCAGTTATATGGCAGCTATAGGATATAGTCGGCCGATCCTAATGAAATTTGGTAGGTTGGATCAACTGACCAAATAGAAAATAGAATCTGTACTAAGTTTCAGCTTTCTATCTTCAAAAACACGAAAGTTGGGTCATTTTCGATCGTTCAGTTATATGGCAGCTATAGAATATAGTCGGCCGATCCTTATAAAATTTAGCATGTCGTAATGTTTTTCCAAAAATAGCTCTTGTGTCAAATTTGACACTCTCTAACACTAAAAACACCAAAGTTATACCATTTCCGATCAATCAGTTATATGGCAGCTATAGGATATAGTCGGCCGATCCGGGCCGTTCCGACTAATATACTGCGTGCAAAGGAAAGAAGGGTGTATGCAAAGTTTCAAGACGATAGCCTTAAAACTGAGAGACTAGTTCGCATAGAAACAGACAGACAGACGGACAGACGGACATGCTCATATCAACTCAGGAGGTGATCCTGATCAAGAATACATATACTTTATAGGGTCGGAGATGTCTCCTTCACTGCGTTGCACACTTTTGGACAAAATTATAATACCCTCTGCAAGGGTATAAAAACCGCCCGAACCCAAAAAAAAGCTAGATGCAGACTGATTTATGAGCGATTTAGGGGTGGCCTGAGACTTAACTTTACCAAAAACAAAATACTAATACAGACTACTAAGTGACTTAGGCTAAGCTTTTAACAAATAAATTTAAAATTTTAAACGCCAAATGAACATTTAAGCCTTGAGTACTTAAAGTAATTTATTAAAAAATAACCTGCAAAATAAAAATAAGTGCTCTGATCTGGTCTCAGCTGGTTGACATTACAGCTGCTGGCAGTGTTGAGAAATGCCAGCCCGGACGCGCAAGGCCGCCAAATGGCGCTAATCGGAGTAATCGATAACAAATGACCACTCGCTAGATAGCGCTGTGTATAGCAGGAGATGAAGCCTGTGTAACCAGCTGAAGCAGGCCTGTCTCATACACAAGAGCGCGGCCCGACAGTCACAGATTGCTACGAGATTGCAACGGTATGAGCTTTGCCGAGAAAAAATTCGTGGCGCATCAATGCAATAGTGCAAGGCCTCCCTTTGATGGCAGTGGCCGACCGGTAAAACTAAAATACGGCGGAACGTCGAGGCTGACTGCCGTGCTCTATCGGACATGGAAAGGACACCCTGTCCCTTAAAGCCCTCACCCATGTCTCGCAATGCGCGGCAACGAGGTCTGCGTCTGTGTTAGAGTGCTTGACAACCCCTAGATACCTGGAATAAAGTATAAAACGCTTCCTCCTTGCTGTGGGGAAACGCATCACAAGAAGCTGTTAAAGTGGAACATGGTGCTACGCATGTGAAACAAAGGGTCTATAGGAACTGAGACATCAGACTGGTAGACTTTTTAAACCCTTGCAGATGGTATTCTAATTATGGTCAAAAGTGTGCAACGCAGTTCTAGGGACATATACGACTCTATAAAGTAAATACCATATATCCTTGATCAGGATCACCTCCGGAGTTAATATCAGAATCTCCGTCTGTCCTTCTGTCTGTTTCTACGTAATCTAGTCTTTCGATTTTAAAGCTATAGACTTGAAACTTTTCACACATCCTCCTTTTGCACCCTTTTGCACGAAGTATATATGCAAGTTGGCACGGCCGGGACCGGGATCAATATAACTGATTGTTCGGAAAAGCTATAACTTTAATGTTTTTTCAGTTGGAGAGCATGAATGCTAAATTTTTTCAAAATAATACGACTTACCAAATTTCATAACGATCGGTCGACTATAGCTGATATAGCTTATAGCTGACATATAGCTCAACGATCGGAAATGGTATTTAGTATTTTGTAAAAATACCAACATTGGTATTTTTGAAGCTTGTAACTTTATTTTAGATTTTGTATTGTAATAAATTGGTTTTATTATGATATTCTCATAAGGATCTTCAACTATATCCAATTTTTGCGAAATATATCTGGTTTTAACTGGATGGGTATATTAAACAGTCATATCAACAGCGTGTTCTCTTCTTGGCCAGCTCTGGATCAGCAGGTGAAAGAAAACTTGCTAAGAAATTTCGTGCGTATTATAATAGCAAAGAGCATTGTCGTCTGTCGTTCAATAACAAGTCAAGGGATTTTTTCGTTCAAAAAATATATTGCGACTCTTTACACGGCTTACATGAGACACCAAAAATAGACTAAATATCAAAATTTCATCTAAACGGACCTTTTTTATAGAACATAATCGGCCCTGTCGACTAAAAAATCAGTACATATAAATAATATATTTTTCTAGAAATGTTATTTATGCTGCATATTAATAAATATGATCTGTTGACGAATCGAAAGATTGGTTCATTCTATGGTCTGAACATCATTTCAACTCAGTAGCATTTGAAATGGAATAAAATGCATAGAAACACACAGAAAAACGGACATGCTCTATAATTCTTTTCTATTTAACTATTAACTAATTTATAATAATAACTATAATATTTATAGACTTAATACCACATCTAAAAACGAGATTAAATAATTTATAAAAATTTAATAGGGTCGGAGATTTGAAAAAAAAAACTTTACAAACATCCAAACAAAATTACCATTTTTTTACCCTGAAAGGTGTGTACTTAAAGTGCACTTGGACGAATGGTTGCTGTTATTTTTTTGAAAGTGTGGCAGTGGCGGATTTAACAGGTAGGCAAAGGCGCGCTTGCCCACTGGGCCCCCCGACGAAAGGCTTTCAGGGCCCCTCTTGGTGAAAGTTACACCGTCGATTTCTTTTTTTTATTTTTTTGTTGAAAAAATGTTTCGGTGAGTCCCTTGTGGACAGCACAAGTTCAATTTTCATTCAGGAGCCCCCTGTTATCAGAATAATTGCAATGCTTGATAACTATCGTAAATTGAATATAAAATCAAATAACTTTTGGGTGCGATCCTAGAATAGGGGCCACCCCAAGCGTATTTTCGGCAATTTTTGGTATTTTCGGCCAAATTTTGGGGTGGATCGAAAGGGGAAAGCCTGAGCTAACGACGTAGGCCCCACAAAACCGATTGCGATCATTCCTTACCTCTTAATTTAACCGGTTATGTCCGGGTAATGTCGGGGGTAATTTTTTCCCATATAACGGCGTCGATATTAAACGTTTTGTAAGGTTTTCCGACAGGAAAAGCACCTCGACGGCAAGAACCAATCCCCATGATTGCATTTATCACTTTACACATTTATTGCCGTGGCAAAAACGAGAAATATCCAATTTTTTTTACAACTGCCTTGATATATATATATCAGCGGATATATATTTCTCACAAGAACAAGATTTTACCAAGCATAGTCCATTGCAATATTTGAACTTCATCGTTGAAAAAAATTGGATCAGCAGTTTCCCGGAGTGCTGCAGTTTATTGCGTTTATTCTTGACCCTTCCCGTCAGCACTGCCAGTGCCGAACGAACAATGAGTTCTTTGAATAGAGTCAAAGATCGGCAACGTTCTACAATGAGTGCAGAAGCATTGGACGATTTCAGCATACTTTTCATTGAACAGAAAGTCGCCAATCAAATTGATCTGGATGCAACCATCGAAGTTTTCGCGGAGAAGAAAGCGAGAAGAGGATTCAAAAATATGTAAATTTTCTCGATGTAAAAAAGAATACAACTTTTATAATGCCCGATGAATAAATGAAAACATTTTTATATTCGTTGAATTCTTAAAATATATAGCTTTCACTTTCCATGACGAAACATAATTTTCTATGAGGGGGGCCCTGAAAAAATTTTGCCACTGGGCCTTTTTCTTTAAATCCGCCACTGAAGTGTGTGGTCTTTTATATTTTATTTTGAACTATTATTTTTTACTATTTTAAAATTTTGTACCTATATGACAGGTTTTTTTTTTGTTTAAGAATTTGTTCTTATCATTTATACTTACATAACACAAAAACATTCATGGAAAAAACTCATCAAAAATATACATGGATGTACACATACATACATATATATTAAATTTTTGTCAACCTGTACTTATACTCAAAATATAAATTTATCAATTTTTTTTTTAGGATGCTGATGTATAAGCTTACTTACATACATATATCGTGATATCGGCTTTGTCTAAATATCGATGTTTTCTTTTGTTTTATGATATTTTTCAAATAATAAAACTTACAGTGCGATCCGTCTGTATTGAGTAATCTATTGTGAGTGATTATTTTTCCAATAATTTTTATATTAAGAAGTGTTTTAGGTTCATTAAGATGTACACTTACAGATACAGATACATTCAGTTTGTTTTAAAGTTTAAACACACTCGCTTGAATATCAGGCTGATCAAGTTTGTGTATTGCTCAGTTGCGTGCGAGCGAGATGTGTTTATGGGATTTTATATTTACCTCTTGCTTAACAAGAAATGCTTTGAAGTCCGAAGTCGAGTGCGAACGAGAAATTCGACATTACTATCCCTGTCGGTTGCAAAAGCTTACGGAGAGAGAAATTTAAAATACAAATAAGCTTTACTTGTACAGTGCGTACACTGTATGTTGTATGTATGCGCACCAATGCACTATGGGCCAAAACGCCGTTTTTTGGCATAAACTCCAATTTTAGAGATACTGGGCTCAAATTTTGCTCAACGCTCATATGTTCAAACTATTTTTGTCGAATTTCGAATTTTGGGGGCCATATTTCAAGAGTGGGCCATATTCCCATTTTATTTACTTTTTAAACAAACTTAAGTTTTTCATTCAAAAAAACCTAAGCCGTTTAGTAAATATGGTTCAATTAGTTCTAAAATTAAATTTAAACCTCTTACAGCATCGTCTTTCCGGTTGCTCTCCTCCCAAACCCCAACTGCATTAGAGAACTCGTAAACACCTGCAACATGCATTGTTTTTGGCATTGTTTTGGCAACATGCACACATGCAACAAGGGACAAAAACGGGCAAAAACCATAAATAAAAATTTGTTTAATAGTAATTTGTTAAAAACATTACATTTTTACCTTTAAGGCACTTAAAAGAAAACTCTAACAGAACACATGTACTTAGAATAGCCTAGAACAACCCATTTGCAACACGTTGGACAAAACAACAAAAACCTATATTAGTATAGAAAAACGTTTATAATTAACCTACGTTGATTTTTATTTTCTATAAAGACACTTGTAGGTTTAAATGTTTGCTTTAAATAACTCACTAGCTGCAAGTTGTAAACATTTTCCCGCGATTTAGGCTTAAACAAAACGTCACTGAACAGCTGATTTTAAAAGCGCCTAGAAAATTAGAGGTATTCCGAAAGAAACGAAACAAAGAATATTTGTTTATATCATTTCAGTATTAAAGATACCAATAAAATGCCAAACATTTGGGCTTTTGGACCATAGGGCAATGTAAATAAAGATATATGTAATTCCTTATAATATATGTACTCTATGTATAATTTTTATGAATTTATATTTTCTTTTCTAAATTAGAAAATATAAACTTATTTTAATAATATGTTTTTTTATGTTGGCTTTAAAGTTTAAACTAAAACCAGAAAGAAAAGCTAACTTCGGGCGGATCCGAAGTTATTTACCCTTCCAGGAAAAAACTTTTGGATATATCGAAAATAACGTCGAAATAACGAAGAAAATTTCATACCAAAGATGGTATTTTTACCAAATACCATTTTCGATCGTTCAGTTATATGGAAGCTATAGGATAAAGTCGACCGATTCTGATGAAATTTGGTATGACGTATTAACTCTCTAACTCTAAAAACACCAAAACATTAATCTGTTATATGGCATCAATAGGATATAGTTGATCGATCCGTTCCGACTTATACACTGAGTGCAAAGGTGTGTGCAAAGTTTCAAGTCGATAGCTAAGAGACTAGTTCGCATAAAACAGATAGACGGACATGCTCATATGAACTCAGGAGGTGATCCTGAATAATATATATAATAGAATAATTATTGTTATGAGAAATTGACTCATAATAATTTTGCAATCCTAATTATGGTCTCTCTTTCAGTTTGTGAGACTTGTTTGTTCGTTGGGGGGAAAAAGGTTGTTATTTCGATGTCCCCCAAGTTGAGACAAAGTTGAATTTAAATGCCTTATTGCTACATAATAGCATTGTGTGCTATTGCACACAACAAGCTACAAAATATTTTTCATTCCAGCGAGCAACGCGGTTTGAGAAACGCAAAAAATGTAATTACAGAAAAGCGTTGTTAAATAGCCACTACTTCAGAAAATATTAACAAAATAATGTTTTTGCATTCGAATTTAAATTAGTTGTATTTCGGAGACCCGAAAGCTTTTGGTTCTTCTGGCCCCACATTTAAAGGTATAAGAAGTGGAAAGCATTCTTCATCTACTGCTAGAACTCATGCTAGAGATTTCGACAGTATTGTGAAGCTAGAGTCTTTTAAATTAATAGCAAGGACCGAAGAAGGACTAGTCAAGCCTGTGGTGATTATAACTTCCGATGGTGGCCCTGATGAAAATCCCAGGTATGGGAAGGTTATTTCCCATGCATTACAATACTTTAAGGCATACAATTTAGATGCAACTTTTGTTATCACAAATGCTCCAGGTAAAATTTGTATCAAGTAATAGCAAAATTATATTGTAAAATGCATTTTTATTTCAGGAATAAGTGCTTTATACACTGCTTTTAGTGCTTTTAAAGTGCTTTAAAAGTATTTTTTTGCCAGTGTTAAAGTTAAAGAGTGCAAGTTTTATTTTTTACCAGTGACAAAAAAGTGTGTGTTTAAAAATATATGAAATAATTTTTGATACATATATTTTGGTAAGTCTATTCCCCTAAAAGCATCCTTTAATTTAAGATTTATGAAGGAGGAATTTAATCCTTCGTAAATTTCTTATTGTTCTTATTGTTTACTTTTTTACAATTTAATTTGAATTTTTTAAACAGCACCCAAAAAATGCCACGTGTTTCACGCACATCCCAGGAGCAACGCCGCCAAGCTGCTTTAAACCGCAGCAGAGCCCGCTACCAACAAAATGCGGTGCAAATAAGAAACAGGAACTCGCAACACATCGCCAATGTACGCGCACGCAACCCAGACCTACGGGAGGAAAGTCGTGCGCAGGATTCCGCAGCACGGGCTCAGAGGAGACGCAGCGAAAGGATTCGTACTCTAGAGCGCCTTCGTGATACTGTAGCACATGCTGATCGGCGGCTGGATCATCAATTGCGTGTTCCAGAGAGGATTCGGGATATGGAAGCACGTGCGAACCTATTCCGGAGGTACCGAAATCCGGAACGGGTTCGGGACGCCGCAGCGCGTGCTATTCGTCGAGAGGACTCTGAGGAGCGGCGACAAGAGCAGGTGCAAAACACTGCTGATCATGCGACACGGAGGACTATTCCGGAGTATCGAAATCCGGAACGGGTTCGAGACGCCGCAGCGCGTACTATTCGTCGAGAGGACTCCGAGGAGCGGCGACAAGAGCAGGTGCAAAACACTGCTGATCATGCGACAACGAGGACTATTCCGGAGTACCGAAATCCGGAACGGGTTCGAGACGCCGCAGCGCGTGCTATTCGTCGAGAGGACTCCGAGGAGCGGCGACAAGAGCAGGTGCAAAATACTGCTGATCATGCGACACGGAGGACTATTCCGGAGTACCGAAATCCGGAACGGGTTCGAGACGCCGCAGCGCGTGCTATTCGTCGAGAGGACTCCGAGGAGCGGCGACAAGAGCAGGTGCAAAACACTGCTGATCATGCGACACGGAGGACTATTCCGGAGTACCGAAATCCGGAACGGGTTCGAGACGCCGCAGCGCGTGCTATTCGTCGAGAGGACTCCGAGGAGCGGCGACAAGAGCAGGTGCAAAATACTGCTGATCATGCGACACGGAGGACTCTTCCGGAGTACCGAAATCCGGAACGGGCTCGGGACGCCGCAGCGCGTGCTATTCGTCGAGAGGACTCCGAGGAGCGGCGACAAGAGCAGGTGCAAAGTACTGCTGACCATGCCTCTCAGAGGACCAATCCCAAATTTCGAATTCAAGAGCGGATTCGGGACGCCGAAGCGCGAGCAACTCATCGCGAGGACCCAGAAGAACGTGCAAGGGAACAGGAAAGGAACACTGGAGAGCACCGACAGCGACGAAGGGATGCGGAAAACATGCAGCAAGAACGGGAAAGGGACGCCGATTACAGGAGAGAAACCAGGAGAAACCCCATCGCAAGAACCCAGGAGCAACGGATAAACACATCACAACGCCGGGAAACACGACAACAGAGGAGGATTCGGGAAGAACAAATTCGACAAATGGCAGAGGATCGATTAATAAACTTCAGGATGGACCCCTAAAATCGACTAGATGCCTCCCAAAGGCAGTCTCAACGAAACATGGACGCAAGAGCTCGGAGGAAGAACTGGAATAGGAACGAGAACAACAGCGAAATAGGATTCGAGTATCAGCGAGGGATCTTTATCACAGGAACATAAAGGAAGGACCAACGGAAATTTGTATTTGCTGTGGAGGAACCTGGTTCCGTACGCAGGTAAGTGGATTATACATCCTGGCTATCTCCTCTAAATTTCCTCTCCTTAACGTTGGCAACGCCTTTTATTTGTCAAGGAAATTTCCCAGTCCGTCCGGTAAATATAACTTTTGCCACACTTGTCGTCGTTCCATCTCTCTTGGCAAAATCCCATCACTCTGCCTTTCTAATGGGTTCGACTTACCAGAAATTCCTGAGTGCTTAAATGGACTCACCTGCCTCGAAGAAAGCCTTATTTCACCGAGAATTCCTTTTATGAGGATTGTTTCCCTCGGGTATGAAAGACAATGCGGGATCAGAGGGGCAGTGGTGAATGTTCCAATTTCAGTTCCCGATATTGTGACTGCGCTTCCGCGCTCTTTTGACTCTACCCATGTCATCCAAGTCCATTTAAAAAGGAGACTAGAGTACGCACACAATTTCATGACTGAAACTATTCGACCCGCTCGGGTCCTTGAAGCTGTACGGTACTTAGTGAATACCGAGCTCTACAGAAAGCACAACATTTCACTGAACGAATCATGGCTAGCAGAACTTCAAGGAATTAATGAAATTCCTTTTATTGCGGACGAATCTGATCGCGAAGCAGAAGAGCAACTTCTTCAGCAGCAACACCTATCCCAAAATGCTGCAGAGCTCGAAGAAAATTTAAATCCAGGAGTCCATGAAACATTATTGGAAAATAATGATACTGCTATTCAGCGAATTGCATTGGCACCGGGTGAAGGCCGTCGCCCAACAAGCTTAACGCTTCACGAAGACGCAGAGGAACTTTCCTTTCCAACTATTTCTTGCGGAGAAATATTTAAAGGAAATACAACCTATGCGAAAAAAGCCAGATCCCAAATCCGTTTTCACGACCGTCGTTGCGCTGTAGTTCCTAAAGTTTTATACATGTATAAATTTTACGAAATGCAGCGCATTCAAAATTCTATTTCAATTGCTTTACGCAAAAAGTCAGGTGCAGTTACCGCTGGTAATCTGCGGGATGAGTCATTTGTTGACAGACTTGTCACATGATGATATATAAATAGCCAGGGTTAAATAGCCACTACTTCAGAAAATATTAACAAAATAATGTTTTTGCATTCGAATTTAAATTAGTTGTATTTCGGAGACCCGAAAGCTTTTGGTTGTTCTGGCCCCACATTTAAAGGTATAAGAAGTGGAAAGCATTCTTCATCTACTGCTGGAACTCATGCTAGAGATTTCGACAGTATTGTGAAGCTAGAGTCTTTTAAATCAATAGCAAGGACCGAAGAAGGACTAGTCAAGCCTGTGGTGATTATAACTTCCGATGGTGGCCCTGATGAAAATCCCAGGTATGGGAAGGTTATTTCCCATGCATTACAATACTTTAAGGCATACAATTTAGATGCAACTTTTGTTGTCACAAATGCTCCAGGTAAAATTTGTATCAAGTAATAGCAAAATTACGTTGTAAAATGCATTTTTATTTCAGGAATAAGTGCTTTATACAAGTCGAAAGGAGAATGGCCCCACTAAGCCGGGAATTGTCTGGCTTGATTTTGTCGCACGACATGTTTGGAAGCCATTTGAATAACCAAGGCAGAAGGCAGAAATTTTGTATTCTCTGGGGGAACATTGGCCAATGTTTGGGGCAGCAGGGTTCTCGATGACTTTCCTGTAACTGCCAAATATTGTCTACCTAAAGAAGAAGAGGCAGAACTGGATGACATAGATCAGTACATGTTCGAAAGAGTCAATATTTTCTGCAGATTGTGAAATGTCGTTCTGAAGAATGTTGTGGAGAATTTAGAACTACTACTGGACTACTTCAAATTCTACCTGGTAGATTATTTCCTCCTCCTCCTCCTCCAATACGTGTTGTTCAGGATGTCTCTGAAATAATCGTTTCCGAGAACATTTCTGGATCAATAAATAAACACAACAAATATTTGCAGGTAAGCTTTATCTACATTTTATTTGAATGTGCTAATATCACACTCCCCTCTTTCACTCCAGATTCCCTTCGACTTGAATTGTCCGTCGGTGTCCGTCGGTTAAGCCAACTTAAAAAACGCATGAAAAACGTGTGGGTTGTATTTTGCATCACAAAAATCAGCTACTCGGCACGCAATAATTCACAAAAATGTAGCTGTAACCTTCGATAAAAAAAATCAAAAAATCGCCAAAAATTCGTCAAAAAACTCGACGGGTGTATGGGGGTTTGAGGTGTGGGTGCCCCAAGTTATGCTACATTCGCAAAAATGTTGCGAACTGCCGCCGCAACAGCCTCGGCCCAGTCCCAGTTACGTCTCCATAATTGCTAAATTAATATGAAAATATGTATGCCGCAGCCCTGGCAGCTCCTGAACGGAGCTCGGCAATGGTAATGGCAAGTTAGAGGCGCCACACTAGCGCGGCCCCTCTGTACTGTTTATCATTATTTTCTCGCTCTTCCGGCCAAGTTTCCCGCTTGTTCGCAGCATAATTATAAGGAGCAACTTTTCTCTGGCACCAGAGGGCCCCAGATGGTTCGCAACAGCAGGAAAAGCAAGAAAAACAAGGACGCCGGCCGGACAGGGCGCACCAGGCGGCGGGAAAAGAGTCTCGAAACGTTGCGAGCTTTGAATCGGGGGCAGAAAATTAAGAAAACCGCTTCCACCCCCACGGTCAGGCGAAATGAAGCGGATAGTTTCACTTCCACTTTCAAATTTGGGAGCTCCCAGGTCCTCCGACTAGGCCGGGTCAGCAAAGGTGGGCGGCTGAGAACTGGTAGTAAGGCCGAAGGAGGACCTCAAATTTGACGACTCTCCACTGTGCACTGAAAAGTTGAAAAGAATGCACCCGCAAAAAGGGCAACGTAGAAATTTAAATTTAATTTTATTAAGCCAAATGAACGAGCCAGACTTTTTCCAATACTACGAATAATAAATAAACAAGAAAGGAAAGCTAACTTCGGGCGGAGCCGAAGTTTATATACCCTTGCAGTTAAAACCGGATACATATCGCAAACATCGGATATAGTTGGCCGATCCTTATGGGAATAGGAATATATAATCCAATTTTTTACAATACAAAATCTAAAAAAAGTCCCAAACTTTTATCTTCAAAAATACGAAAGTTGATATTTCTACCAAATACCATTTCCGATCGTTCAGTTATATGGCAGCTATAGGCAGCTATAGGCAGCTATAGCCCGAGACTAATGAAATTTGGTAGGTCGGATCAACTGACCAAATATATAATCTGTACCAAGTTCCAGCTTTCTATCTTCAAAAACACAAGTTGGGTCAAAGTTGGGTCATTTCCGATCGTTCAGTTATATGGCAGCTATAGGATATAGTCGGCCGATCCGGGCCGTTCCGACTTATATACTGCGTCCAAAAGAAAGAAGGGTGTGTGCAAAGTTTCAAGACGATAGCCTTAAAACTGAGAGACTAGTTTGCGTAGAAACAGACAGACGGACAGACAGACAGACGGACAGACGGACATGCTCATATCAACTCAGGAGGTGATCCTGATCAAGAATATATATACTTTATAGGGTCGGAGATGTCTCCTTCACTGCGTTGCACACTTTTGACCAAAATTATAATACCCTCTGCAAGGGTATAACAAACGAGCAAGCTGAAGAGCGAGGGGAAAGGCGAGTGGAAATAGAATGGAAACTTTGCTTTCAAAGTCGTTCCACTTAAAGTTGCCCGGAGATGACAACGGAGGCAGGGTATTAGATCCCTCTCCCCCCCAGTTCTCCGTCAACTCCAGATATTCCCACATTCGTAACACGAAACATTTAATGTATACATGGCAGACATTCCATTAAAAAAATAACCCCCGAACACCAACCAAAGTTTTATATGTACTCGCATTATTCCCCTCCCGCCTCTGGCGCTCCCACGTGACGAAAAGTTTTTCACTCGGTGGTGCCACCGATGCCTCCTCCGCTGCCGCTGCTTTTGTTGGCCTTTAATTATGATTTGATGTTCATGTTAAGCGTTTGCAAAGCAACTTTTTTCAGCTGGCCAATTAAATGAGATCGCTGGCAAAGATGAAATCCAATTAGAATTTAAGTCAGAGCAAAAACACCGAAAGAGGAAAACTGTCGCAGACATGGAGAAAGGTCCTTCCTTTGAGCGGAAGGAGAAGCAAAAGCGTGCGTCCGCGCTCTAGCTGCTGAAACCAGTAATGGCGAGGGTCCTTACTCCATTGTTTGGACAAAACATCATGACGTGGCCGCGGATATGTTTGACATATCCCTAGGTCAAATTGGACATTTTAAAAATTCGTTAGGTCGGCTTTTAGACTTATGTTTATACCCTTGCAGAGGGTATTATAATTTTGTCCAAAAGTGTGCAACGCAGTGAAGGAGACATTTCCGACCCTATAAAGTATCTGTCGGAGATCCGTCCATAGTTTCCATTATCAAGCACAATTGCACAGCAAGTTCTGTTCGTTACTAGAGACGCTTCCCAACTGAACTGCGTAACACAGAGTTTTGTCTAATTTCATCATCCTTTTAAATTCTATTGCTCTCTCTGTTTCTCTCAATTCAGTCCGTGCTCTACGATCAGACCATGCTCAGCAGCAGAGTGTGTCCCTTTTTCTCAGCTACTGTGCGTATTTAAACTACTAGCGACAATGTGTCGCCACGCCAAAGCTGTACGGCGAACAAGTACAATGGGCAAACTAGCCATTCTACGACATATACATATTCTTGATCAGGATCACCTCCTGAGTTGATATGAGCATGTCCGTCTGTCCGTCTGTCTGTCCGTTTCTACGCGAACTAGTCTCTCAGTTTTAAGGCTATCGTCTTGGAACTTTGCACACACCCTTCTTTCCTTTGCACGCAGTATATAAGTCGGAACGGCCCGGATCGGCCGACTATATCTTATAGCTGCCATATAACTGATTGATCGGAAATGGTAAACCTTTGGTGTTTTTAAAGTTAGAGAGTTCAAATTTGATTCAAATTTGCTATTTTTGGCAAACCATTACGACATACCAAATTTCATAAGGATCGGCCAACTATATTTTTTAGCTGCCATATAACTGAACGATCGGAAATGACCCAACTTTCGTGTTTTTGAAGATAGAAAGCTGAAACTTAATACAGATTATATTTTTGGACAGTTGATACAACCTACCAAATTTCATTAGGATCGGCCGACTATATCCTATATCCTAACTGAACGATTGGAAATGGTACTTGGTAGAAATATCAACTTTTTTATTTTTGAAGATAGAAGTTTGTGACTTTTTTAGATTTTTTATTTTAGTTAATTGGTTTTATGATGATATATTTATAAGGATCGGCGAACTATATCCGATGTTTGCGATATATTTCCGGTTTTAACTGCAAGGGTATATAAACTTCGGCTCCGCCCGAAGTTAGCTTTCCTTTCTTGTTTGTATATAAGCCTGATGATATCAATTTTTCCAGAGATTTGCCTCTTTCAACCCTAGAGGATCCATATCACCTTGGCCTTTCAATCAAAAACACTTCTGGTCTCGAGCAGAAGTTTCCATGCGTAGCAAACAAGTTAGTGAAACTTAACTCTGTAAACTCTGTAAATCTGATTTTCATAAACTTAAAAGCCTTTCGATACATTTGATTGGTCCGATATTCTGGCATGCGCAGAGGTAAAAGGCACCATTGAAAAATTTAACCATACTTTAAATACATTTTTTGACTCATGTGTGCCATGGAAATATCCGTCCGCTTCAACAAATCCTCCTTGGTTTATAAGGTGCATCACGAATATAAAATATACTAAAAACCTGCAGTAGAATAGATTTTTCAAGATATTTACTAGCACGGTCAAATTTTACCATGCATAACGCTGAATGTTTCAGGAATTATATTCGCCGCTGCCGGATTAAATTTACTCAGGATTCAAAGCATTTTTATACCTTTGTAAACACTTAGCGTAAACATGTATCTTTTCCACCACTGCTTACTTTTGAAAATTCATCTGCGACCTTTGACCAGGCCATTGCCGATCTATTCAAAAATTGTTTCAAAAAACTTATTCTCCGCCTAAAACGACAGATCAGCCTTATGCATACAACATTGAATCAGCAAATCTTCTTTTCTGTCCGTATTTCTTCGAGAATAACTATTTATCTAATCTTCTTAGGGTCGAACCCGATTATTCCCCAGGCCCCGATGGAGTACCAGGCTGTGTGCTAAAATACTGTGCCAGGTCTCTGTGTAAACTTCTACATAGACTTTTAAACTTTTCTTTGGAAACCTAAATTTTTCCGAGTCCGATTTAGTCAATCATTCACTCCTGTTAAGAATACTGAATCTTCTGCGATTTCCTACAGACCTCCTCACGTGGTTCTCTAGCTAGTTAGATGCAAAAACACAAAGAGTCTTATTAAAAAATGTACATTTCCGCCTAGTCCGTGCTACATCTGGTGTCCCTCAAGGAAGACATCTTGGCCCGTTACTATTTACTCTTTTTATTAATGACATGCCTCTTGCTTTACCGAACTCTTAAGTTCTTATGTATGCAGATGATGTAAGACTGTGTTGTCAATACAAATCCATCTCTGCCTAATGCAATCTTCAGTCTTACCTTGAAAGTTTTCAAGAATGTTGTTTTGCAAATGATTTAATACTTAATGGATCAAAATGGAAGCTTATGTCTTTTTATCGTTCTTTCCCTCTCCAGGCTACGTACTCTCTCAATGGGATTGCCTTAGAAAAATTAGCTCAGGTTAATGATCTCGGTGTCCCATTAGACTCAAAACTTAAATTTGCCGAACATAATGGTTTCATCCTTTTGACGCTGCTCCCTTTGGAATGGTTGTGCTTTTTGCAATAGAATACGTAAGGGCTCTGATATTATAGCATATCCGGCGACAAATTTTCGGAAATAACCAGTGAGTCCCCAAAATTGGCGTACTTCGGTAACATTAGTTGTTGTTGAGAACATGGAAATGGCTTTCATCTTTACGTCTCCCGGGCTGATTCCTTCAGCGTGTATTTTATGTCCTAAAAACGTAATAGACTGCTCGTACAATTTACATTTATCCAGATTTAGAGTTAGTCCGCAATCTCGCAATACAGTAAGGAGTCTTTCAAGCTCTTCATACAATTTCTCGAATGAATTGCTACCAATTAGGATGTCATCC